GTGAAAGGAGACAATTTTAGAGAAGAAAATTTTTTGGTCGCTACCCGGATTCGAACCCGGGACCTTTGAATGAGAGGCCAACACCTTAACCTCTAGGCCACGAGAGCCCCCGATCTTGGGGTTGATAAAAATGGTACCGCCAAAACACCACTTAAACTGTGAGCCGGTGACATGCGCAACCAAAAACATCACTGAAGTGGTGAGCCGGATTCAAAGAGTTGAGGAAGAGCAAAGTGGTTTTCCAGTTTTAAAGTGCCTATAAATGACTTATGATAAGATATGTGAACTATGCACTTTGATAGTCCTGACCATATGTTACTAACAAGACAATTGTTATTCTTGTGCAATGCAATTTAACATTGTTTAATATTATTGATGCATAATTGTTTCATGATTTGCTGTAAAAGACCAAAGATGCTTAAATGATTTTGAGGAAACATTGTTTTTGCTTTTTAGTGTCATGTGCTTAAAAGAATAAATCACCTTTTTATTATTCCCGTGGGCAGTATGTACAGACATGGCCAGTAGACATGTTCCAGGGAAAGTTCAATGTTTCCGAAAGTCTCATTTTGTTGCTTTTCTGATGTCGGAATGTTGTATTGCTTCATTTTTTACTTCTTTTTTGTCTGGCTACTCTCTGCTGACCTGTATCATTATGGTTAGTGGATGTTTGAATGTTAGTTAATTTAGTAAGCAGATATGAACTTGTCAATTTGTCATCTTGATTATTGTGTTTTCATCTTGAAAGTAGCTGAACTGAAGTTTATTACCAAGTGTCTGATATATTTGCCCTCTGTACATTTTTGAGAGGTATAAGATTTTGATTGTAAGTAAATGGTCAAATTTTTATAAACTTACTGAACCGTAACCCAGATAATATTGGTTTCGTTCAACACCAGGGGTGTGTGAATCTGGACTTTATTGGTATGTGATTCACAAGTTAGTGTTAAATGATTTCTTTTGAAAGATAGAGTGTTAGTAAACTTGTCTTATGAAAGATGCCAAACACTGCTTTGAGGAAATAGTGAAAATAGCTTTGTAATCGTAAGTGATGAAATTCTAGCGAATATCTTCTTAGATTCATTGTTTCACAATGGCAGCTCAGGATTCGATTTTTGTGTGATGAAGTCACAAGACATCAAAATTTATTGAGAGCTCATCGCACCACAACTTTTTGCTTCAAGGTCTTGTCTTGTGTGCACTTCTCTGTTTGCTCAGTGAGATCTATTTATTTCATTGTTCCCATTTAGACCCTTTTACTTTTAGTATTCAAACTTTATCAAAATATGGACCACAATTTTCTTGCTTCTTCGACAGTTTTTGTGTAAGTGAATGGTAGATACAACATACTGTAGTCTTTATTTTGCCGTTTGTATGGCTGTATCAGTTGTTATACTACTCTGGGCCACTACGTTTTGGAAAAATGCTTCAGTTTTTCTCTAACTGTAACCTTTTTTGATATATTTGGCTTCAATGTCTTCATTGAGTCGTTGACTGCAATGCTGTTGACTGGGTAATTAATTTTTATGTTAGGTGAATGTAGACCTACATTACATGTTATCATGAAGAGAAAAATAAAATGGTCCCAGACAATAAAAACAAGGTTAGATCTGTCCCCGTTATTTTATGCAAGAAAAATTCTGAAATTATGCAAACTGAACCCAAAAATGTGAAATTATGCGATTCTGTTAATTTTAACAAAGAATGATAAAGGAAAATAATTAGAAATTATGCAAAAAAAAAGATCAAATTTTGCTAAATTATGCGGGGTGCATAAAACCACGGGGACAGTTAGATAAGTTAACAAAACTGTCTCTTGAGTCTTTACAGTTACATGTACTGTTTTCTTATATTTCTCATGATTATGGCTTCAGAGGCATATACTGATCAAATTATGTCAGTATCAGACTTCACTTTTTAAAAACCACTGTTCAGGCCAACACAATGATAGAGGAATCTATCATCTTAAATTTGGTGAAATTAAAATTTAATGTTGCTCACAACTCCACATGAGCATGTAGGACATAAGTTTGTTTTCATGTTTTATTTTATTCTTAAAGTTAAAATTCAATCATATTTAAGACCTCCTTGGTACAGTAATTCAAGGTAAAGCTAAGACAGTTTTTCTTGGAGCCCCCCCCCCCCCCTCCCAGCTTGACAGCACAAATACTGCAATAAGTGTTTTTAAAAACTCTGTGGTCAAATTGAAAGAACCAGACATTTGTAAAGCATTGAATCATTGAACTTTCTTTGTAACTTATATATATATATATATATGTGTATCACGTAAAAGATTTATGTTTACGTCAGATTTAGAAGTGTCAACGCTGCAATAGTTGTTGAGCTGTCACTCGAATGTGAAGTGGTGTAACAGCAAAAAGATTATTCATTTGTGAGACAGCGTGGTGGAATCAGGCTCTCGTCAATTTTTGGGCATGTAGAGTTATTGGTATCATCTTAAAGCTTGTTCACTTGTCTTTATTTGGAAGAAAATAATATCTATTTTTCATGAATACAAGTGGAGATATTTGCGAATGAAGGAGGTGGGGGTCACCTGTTTTCAGAGGTAAAATTAGAGAGAAAATGGCCGCCAAAGATTAGTTAATTTCCTTAGTTTAGGAGTCTGTGGTAACTGAAAATTTACATTTTTTGTGCCTTTAATCAACTTTTTAAAGAAAAATCAAAACAGAAATGAGTTCTTTTATGGGCATGAAAGGTGATGAGCCAAAAAACAAAAATTTGATAAAAATTCACAAACCAGCGGAAAAATGCACGTTTCTTCACTTTGATTATTTTGACGAAAGCCTGATTCCACCACGCTGCCTCACATTTGTTTTTACATGACTTCTCTCGTAAAGATGCAAGAATGGAGATTATTTTGCTATTTAATCAGAGTTTTAACAATGTGAAAGGGATATATTAAGTAGTCTTGCAATGTTTTTATATCTTCCTCTAGAAGGTTCACAGGCATTTACCTTAGTTCCCTTTGCAAGCCAATACATTTCATTTCACCAATTTACTCAATAAATAGGCATGTTGCCTTGTATTCAGTTACACACTTATCACTGTAATTATTTTTGTCTCTTCTGATTTCCAAAAATCCATTTATATGCACTTTATGCAAAACTTTGGGTAGTGTGGTAAAAAGAGAGAAAAATGGACCATGCTCTCTGTCAAATTTCAACTGTCTGTAAGTCTAGTCTGTTATTTTCTGCTATGGCTTCTTTGACTTTCCATTTGATTTTTGCTGCTGTGCTATAACTACAAGAATGGTGTATGAAGAAAATCACTTCTTTGAGCATGTTTGCTAAACTAAGCACTTGTTTGTAAAATGTTAGGGAACTGGATTTCCTTTCAACAAAAGTAAATTTTCAGTATGCTGTACAATGTCTGTTCATAGGCCATTAAAGAAACCCATCATTATAATGCATCTGATGTGTGTATGATGTAATGCTCATTTTATGTAAGTTCACCACAGATGGCCATTCCATGTTCTTTTTGTGTGCAATTAAATAAAAGTTTTTTTTCCTTGTTATGACATACTGTCATGAAGAAGATCAAGTTTTTTTGTCATATAGGTGTGCATGTAGTGTATGGATTTCATCGTTCGCCAGTTCACGCCGACCCCTCTCCTTTCACCAAAACTTGCTCAAAGTATGGGAAAGCAGCTTGGAAAAGCTCAAACCTATTTAAACCCGGAATTCCGCCTCAGAACCCTGGATGAGTTCAGGGCAATAAAGTCTTGCAGGCACATTACAGATGAAAAAATTATGTTACAATGTAAAAGCTGGTTCTTGCTGGAAAGGGTTCTTTGCGGAGTGTTCTTAGGAGGAGACCACTGTATTTACTTTGGTGTATCATCTCTGTTGTCTTTGCTTCCTTTTTGCTTTAAGTCATAGGTCCAGTCCCCAACCTTCCAAATTACCAACAATGTCTTTCTAGCATAATATTGCACTCATGCCAAATCAAATTTCTAAAAACACCAAATTCTCAAAAAACAAAATGATCTTTTCTTTGGTTTTATTCTTTTAAAATGTATATAATGAAATGCTGAGAGGAGCTCTGCCAAACATTATGCCAGACAAAGAAAGTGTAGGCTGCCCAGCAACACCAGTTGTCAATCCACCCCTTCTTCAAGTTTTGATACGAGCCTCTAAAGTCTATGCATTCTAATGCACAAGTGGCCTTCTTTTCATTGAATTCACAGCTCCTTGTTTCTGGCCGCTGTGGCTCAGTTTGTTGTGAACTTGGATAATGTATACATTAAACATTTCAATTAAATCAAAAACAGGAAGGAGGATGTATGGCCACCTGAATAAACCACTGGTCAAAGATCCAATCAATGAGTTGAGGAGGGGAGATCAATCCATAATCTTCCAACTTAGAACACAACATGTACCCCTCAACCAACATCTCAACCGAATTGGAGTAAAGCAGTCTGCTGCCTGCCCACTATGTGACTACCCCTCAGAGACAGTGGAACATCATCTGTTCTTCTGTGGAAAACTGATTTAAGGGGATGTTTTCTTCCCAAGCTACCCCACACATCTAATTGCCTCTACTCCTCAAGACAACAATTAGAACAAACATGCAACTATTACCGAATGGCATCATGCAGAAGAATTAACGCTCAGATGCTACTGGATCGCTAACAACAACAACATAACAATTAAATCAAAATGGAGTTTTCCCCTTCCTTTCTGGAAAGATGTCTTCAAAAGTTCAGCTTTATCCATTGATAGCTGGGGACACCCTTGATCTCATTCACTTTCCTTGGCCCCTCTATATATTTTCGATTGGCAGAAAAAGATTCAAATCCTGTCTTAGTTGAAGACCCAACAAGATACAATGTTTGTTATTTCAAACGCTGATCACTTGGTTCCATGACAGGATTCTTACCTCCGAAGCTCAAGAGTTTACTTGAAATCTTGTTGTCTTTTTTCTTATTACTTTTTTTTACTGGAACCAATAGATCAACATGACCATCATTGTATTATGTCCCCACAAAAGATACAGAGGAATAAAACAAAAAATTCTATGATCAGCTTCAAAGTACACTGAATTCTGAATCAATATTTTAGAAAAAATATATGTAATATAAATATTATTTTTTTCATGTTAAGAAAAGAGGAGAACCAACGTTCGAAAACCATAGTCATCCGAGAAATGCTTGATCATCACACTATAGTATGACAATTTACCTACAATTTGCTCATTACGGCTTAGGCCTTCACACCGAGCATCACTTTTTGTGTAGCCATAAAATATCTTGCCCTGACATCGTTTGGTGCCAGCTTGGTGAAATGGTGAGGTGAGGTTGGTGTCTCTAATTTAGCACCGGTAACGCATTTCCTTTCAGACCTCCTGCAGATGACTGCTTTATTTTCACAGTCACCTACAGATGAAGTAGAAAACAAAAGATCTTGAAGACGTCTCAGAGATGATAGGTCTTAAAGTTCATTAAGACAAGACCAAGATACAAAGGATGGACACCACTATCGGTGATCAGATTACCTTCTGAGAAATAGCTTCACTTACTTGAGTAGCATAATAGACAAGGTTGGAGGAACAGATGCAGAGGTAAAGACAAGAATAGGCAAGGCAAGAGATATTCACAGCAGGGTTTTAACACTTTCACAACAACACAGAAAAGAAACAACCAAGATTATTTATGGAATGAATATTGCTCATACATATTTCGTTTTGTTTATTCAACCAAGGAATACTGCATATAGGCTATAATTGCAAATTTTAAATGAATAGTCACTAGTCACCAGTTGCAAAGATAAAATAAATTACAAAACCAGTTAAAAAGCAGCAGTAGCTAATGATAAACAGAATAAAAAGCCTGTCTTAGGTTCTCCGTTTCACAAATAATCCAAAACACCAAAGCAATCCTGCGTTTTTATATAGCAGTCATACAAAGTTTACAAAAACAATTGATGTAACATGATGGAACATAAAATACTATCTACTATCTTTCATTTTTGATACAACACGCCCATCATACACATTTGAAAAATGATGTATAACGATCAGATGTCCAAAAGTTTGGGATTTTTTCACCAGCAAATAGATTCAGACATGAGCTGTTAATTAAGTAACATAATATAGTACAATAGGAACTTTGAATAAGGTGATGAAACTCTAGTTTATAAAAACCAATAGAGCTCTCCTTTTCAAACAGAGGTCTCAAAATCATCAGATAAGGAGGAAACAAAATAATTTTTTATAATATGAAAGGAGACATACCAAATATAATGGGTTTAGTAATGGCAAAGAGATTTCGGTAAAAACCCAGAAAGTTGAAATATAAGTTTAAAAAATGTTTTAATGTTTATTAAAGAGATGGCAAGTGCATTAGAGAAAGAGGAGGTCCCGGATAAATTCTCATCCATGCCCTTATATACTTTGCAACATTTAGGCTAAGAAAAACCTGTTCGAAATAAAAAGATGACGTTGGTGTAAAATAAAAGTTAACAGAGGGCAGCAGTGACACATAAACAAACAAGTGACATGAAAAACAAGTTTCTTTAACACATTGGGGAAACGTAAAAAAAAATAAAAATTCACATGCGTCTGATCTAAGTTGAGAAACACCTAAAACGATATCTCTCTTTACACACTTCAGGTCACCCAAAACCCATAAAGTTGAACTAAAAAAACCCAGAAGAAACATTCAGCACATTGTGTCAGGCAGAAAAACAGTACCAGTATATGTTTGAAAATTTGTTCCGTCCAGTTCAAGATAAAATGGTTTATAACAGCTTGAAAAAAATGCAAAATGGCAGATAAAAAAAAGCCCAACTATTATAGACATAATGCATCTTATAAGTCAGAATTGTAAAAGGGTATAAAGAAATAATAATCAAAGAGTACAATTTTTTTAGGACACCCCATTTTTACACATCAACGTGACATGTTTTCATAATTATAGAGGCTGATCATAAAGGCTTATTCTGAAAACATCATGTACAGCTTCATCAGAAGAGTCACATGTGCTAAGCAATTAGCCACTGAGTCCAACAAAAATCCCTAATTAGTTATCATTTGTCCCTTTAAAAAGAGTACTCAATTCAACAGATACCAGTCTTTCTCAGCACATCGCCCTTGCTGAAGTGTCATCAGATCTTAAGAGATGAGACTGACACAATAAACAATAACATGATAATATGTGAGTAAAGTTTAATGAACAAATACCTATAGAGAAAAAATTGGTATTAAATAATGCCACTGCCGTTTCACAACAGAACAGCTATCCTCGGATATTCGACAGCCAAACAAAAATTATTCTGCAACAAAAAATTAGAAACCTATCACACTGAGTGAATATTGTCAGCTCCTTTAACATAAAACTGTTACAAGCGAATGCAAAATTGTAGGCTACTTACTACAATGCAGACCTTAAAGGTGCCATAACTATCACAAACTTTCTTTCTCATAACAAAATAAGCACCAATCACTCAACTTCAATTCCTGAAGCAATGAGATTCCAACAGAGCATGAGTACAATTTTTAGTATGCCCACACAAAACATACCATAGTAGCAGTACAATATATGGCTGTTAAGCATCTTTGAATTTCTACTTTTCATCTGCAAAAGTTTTCAACATATAACAATCATCTGAATTTACATTAATCCATTAATTACTCATAACAACAACATGTTTTTTTTTGTTTGTCTTTTTAAGCGGGGTGTTAGTGAGACTAATTTGTCTTCCACGAGTCTACCCATTAACTGTACATGTATCGACACATTTGTAATTCCATTTCCCAAGAAAGATAACATATTTCAGCTTCCACAAAGGCAGTACACATAACCAAACAGGTACAGAGAAATCATCAACATAGTTTGCACACTTGCTCTTCCTTACACTAAAAACATTCTCATATAACCTTTATGATAGAATTATTTAATTATGTAAAAAAAAAAACACCCCAAAAAACAACCCATTATAATTTATCATTGTAACAAAATTTCAACAATTTTTTAATACCTAAATACAGACTAGACACAGAATACTCCACAACAAAGGATGAAGAAGGGACCATAATCAAGAATCAGAAAAAGACATGAGATGAAAGCAAAAGAAAGTGTCGAATCATATCCTGGTCTTCAAAAGAGAAATGAGTATTTATGGCTAAAAAAAATAACAGCATAATCCATAACTGGCTGCCACCTGGCTGTAAGTAGTAGTACTGAATATATGTTGACCACTCTTAAACAAACAAATGATCCTGTAGAGAGAAATTTAAATGCTAGCTCAGAGAATAGAACCTTGTCATCACATTAAACAAATTTGAGCAATTTCGCTCAGAGACAAAAGCAATGTCGAAAGCAATACTTTTCTTTCTCACACATGGTAAGCAGGGCAACAATAACAAAACAACTTGAGATCGATGTATCCATCTCCTCTATTTAGGAATACTGCTCCATGAACTTCACATGGAAGTCTCTGAATCGTCCTAGCATTTCACCCAGTTTTTGAACAGGGGGCAGGATAGTTGTCCTGAACAGAAAAAAGAGGGAAAATAAAATGTTAACATTCAAACAGGAGTTTATATATATATATAAGCAAAAGTAAGCAGAGAAACATCAACTTTTACTACATATCAACAATACATTTGAAGACTTACGTTAACAGCCCACTAGTAAAATAACAACTCACTTTGTACATCTCTCAAACCATAACTTGCATATAAGAACGATAGATTCACCTGAAATAGCCACCTGCTAATTGTAACCTTGACCATCCCAACCGACAGATATGACATATGAGTTTGAACAGTGACAACATTTTTTCATCCTCCGAGAATTTTTCCAACCAGCCCAGTAGGACAGGGTTCAAAGCTGACAAAATTATCTATTCCACTTGCAGAAGTGCACTACATTTTAAAGAATAGGAAATTAAAAACTTGTCTCCTATAATCATCATCACTATACAACATCTTTGCTGACATTCCAACGATCAATCCCTTGTTTCTCTCACTGGCACGCATAAAAAGCAGACCCCTCACATATTAGCTAGCCATGATGGCACAATACATTTATACTGAATGTTACTGAAAAAGAAAGTTTCACATTCGAATGTCAGAGAGGTAGAATCTTTCTCTAACTTCCCAAAGTCTTACATTTTCCTCTCAGGCCAGACTTCCAGCTGGAAACCAAGCGCCTAACCTTTGAAATGAGCTGCCGTGTCTAGTGGGTATTGTTCTTAATAACATTTTTAAAAACCCAAAAAGCAAACAACAATCACCTGAAGTGAAACGTGCCCTCCTTCTGTCCGAAGCCACTTCCGGGGACCACACACATCCCAGTGCTTTCCAGAAGGTTGTAGCAATAAAAGAAATCCGGAGCCATGCCTTTAGCCTGG